GGGCACGCGTAGATTTGGCGCCACGGACGAGACGCCGGGCATGTGCCACCCACGCTAAAAGTGGAGGTTATGGAGAGGGGCTGAAAGGGAGGGGGAATGGTGAGGAAGGGAAGGGAGGGGGGATAAGGTGCAAGGGCCTTGGTATCTTTTGCGAAGGGGTGTGTGTGACACTCAGGAAATTATGTCAGGCGCTATAAATACAACCCAAATATGACGACCGTAGTGCGAAGCCTAAATTGGAAGTTTGTGTGCAAGGCGAGGCAGATGCCACTCTATTGCACTTGTAGAACATGCATGAGTTTTTATTTTTTATATTTTTTTATTATTCTGTTATTAAATGAAATATGAGAAAATTGCAATTAGATGATTTTACATTTCAGTTTTTTCTTACATTTCTTCTAAGACTACGAGCCCATTACGTCATGCAAGGGTAATCTAAGAATAAGCGGAAGAAAACAAAAATCAATTCAAACAAACTGTTTATTCTATGTAGCTACCTATGTACCCACTATCAGTAACCTTTTTAAAGATACGATGAGTGCTCTCGCTTTTAATCCTTCCCTTCCTCCCTCTCTCCCTCCCTTCGTCCTCTTTCCCTTTCCTTTCACTCTACCTCTCCTCTGTGTCTCTTTCTCGGTCTTTTTAATCCGTATCTGCATTATAACATGCATGCAAACGAGAACTCCGAGGTATATAAAACAGTACGTAACCCGCACTGTTTTCCCCGCGCAGAGCAAGCAGAGTCCCGTGGAGGACCTTCTGAACCAGGCGGACCAGCTGATCTCGACGCAGCGCCCCAGAGCCGAAGTTTACGCTTCCATGGCCGAGTCTCTTGGTCTGGCGTGGAAGGACCTCAACGCCCAGCTGGAAACGAGAAAGCAAATCCTGGACATGGGAGTCGCCTTCCACACGTAAGTAACGCTGAGCGGTCGGCTTTGTCTCTTTATATGGTTTGGAGGGTACGCATGCGCGCGCGCACACACACACACACACACACACACACACACACACACACACACACACACACACACACACACACACACACACACACACACACACACACACACACACACACATACACATTGATAAATTTATGTGTGTTTGTATGTATGTATATGTGTATATATATATATATATATATATATATATATATATAGAGAGAGAGAGAGAGAGAGAGAGAGAGAGAGAGAGAGATAGATATATAAATATAAAGTATATATATAAATATATATATATATATATATATATATATATATATATAAATATATATATATAAATATATATATATATATATAAATATATAAATATATATAAATATATATGAATATATATGAATATGTATGAATATATATAAATATATATAAATATATATATATGTATATATATATATATATATATATATATATATATATATATATATATATATATATATATATATTATATATATATATATATATATATATATATATATATATATATATATATATATATATATATATATATATATATATATATATATGTAATAGACATATGTCACCGTAATACGACGGATAGCTACCATTAATCTTTGCAGATATTTTTAAAACCAAACCTTATGTTATTTCTTACTTGGTGGTGTGTCAGAGATAATAGCACAAAGATCACACGGGAGGGAGATTATATTTCCCTCCCCGATCTATTACCACTGAGTGCGGATACCAATCTCCCCGCACGGCGTTCACTGTCAGCATTAACCGCGGTGTTTACACAAGCTCGACCTCTCGGAGTCCACAGCGTTTCCTTCAGCCACCACCCTCTCGTAACGCACACCCTCGATGTATGCTGAAACGACCATCACATGTTGCATATCGTGATTCTGTGTTGTCTTCTCGTAGTCGTATGGTCATGTATAATGTAAATTTGCTTTTCCCTTTGAATGAATTACATCTTTGTTGGTCATTCATAATCGACACGGTCATTGTAGACACTGCTTCGTTGTTTATTCTTGGTAGTGTTTCTTTCCTACTACTACGTTTTTTTTTTCTTCTGATCTCTCATCAGCCATGCCAGTCTCGCAAACGGTTCATTCTACTTCTTTACCCGGTCTCATAACTAAGATTCTCAGCGGATACCAAAATATGTTGTACCATTCCTCTCTCTCTCTCTCTCCTCCAGCGCCCTCTCCCCTATCACGCCTCGCCTCCCCCCGCGTGGGTCACCTCTCACACCCACGCCCATATACGGGAGGTGGTCGCACAGGTCCCGGGCGGCGGCGTGGGGTGGCGGAATGGGTAGTACGGGGGCGGGGGTGAAAGGAGGGTACAGAAGGGCTTACGGGTGAGGGGTGAGGCTGGAAGGGACCCGGGGGTGAAGGCAGCGGGCAAGGGGGTTGTGCGTCGAGGGTGGTAGTATGGTGTTCAAAGAGGGGGAGAGAGGCAGAGACTGAAAAAGGGAAGAGGTTGAGGGAGTGAGAGAGGAAGAGAGTAAGGCTAAATACGGGAGACAGACAGACAAACAGACA